TGACTTCTATCAGTCTGCTCCCCTGCTCTGGCAGACCCAGCACACTGCACGCATTAAGCGAGTGTGAGCTTCTCTCCCACGCTAACGGTACCGAGTCCTCTTACAGCAGACAGTTCTTCGGCAGTCCCTTCTGATGGGTATTTTGCAGTAATTCAGCAATGCACCCAGTTAATCTTTTTGCTTTGGAGGCAGTGATTCCCATCCAGACTACTCCTCTGAGCTACAGTGAGATAGATAACTATCCAGAAGACATTCCTGCCTTATACAGCAGCTTGAATGTCATGCTGTATTTTGTTTGAACCATTAGGCCTCCTTTTGCTAGGTGGTGACTTTTTTTTTCTTCAAGAGGCCAGGAAATCTCCTTCCAGAAAAGTGGTCCAAGTATAGTTTGGGCTTAATTTTAGTATGAATAGTTCCAGAAGTCACTCTACTGTGATACTGTCTCTTACCTTCTTTATATATCTTAAGTAAAAATGCTTTTCTTTTATCATTGTGTTCCACTAGGTAAAACCTTATTAACTATTCCTGTAAACAAGTATTGTATGTAGAAATCTATAAATCTGACTGATGGAACACTACATATTTCCTTATGTATTTACTGACCTGTGTTTTTTGCTACTTTTTTCTTTTCTCCCCCATCCCTGAATATTTTTTTTTTCTTCCCCTGATCCGGAATTTCTTTGCCAACTGACTGCACGGTACTTCTGCTTCCTGTTGTTGCTTGAAACAAACAAAAAAAAAAAACCAAAAAAAAAAAACCACAATAAAAATTCCCTTTCCAAAAAAAAAAACAAAAAAAAAACCCTGCTCTTCGGAAACCAACCTGCCCTTCAATATTAACCATCTTGAAAACTTCATCATCCATCAACCAATTTCGCCATTTCCTGCGGGGACTCTGCCCTTCCTCGTTGTGGACGATTTGTGCAACCTCGCTCTCCCCTTCGATTCCTTACCTCTTCCCTGTCCCTCCGCTGCCTTGCTCTGCTGTTCTCTAAAGAGAGTTACACCCCAATGCCTCTTTATTCTTTTCGGTATGTTATTATTCACACTTTTTATTACCTTGTTTTTCATTTATTTTGAGATTTTACTTTTGATACTTCAGAAATGTACAGTTTGCAGTTTGCCATGTTTTTGAATGCATAATTTCATTTTGTTTTTACATTGTTTACATAGTTTTCTGTTTAATTTTAGTTTGCCCTTATTTTGATGTTCAGTTATGCATGGTTTATTGCTTTGCATGTCTTTTTATAGAAGTTTAAAATTGTGGTAGCATGCTAAATTGTCTAGTTCAGTCCTCTGGCAGTTAGACTTTTTTTTCTTTTTTTTTTCTTTATGCTAAAATCCAGATCTGTTTCTTTAATGTATTGTTCCATTATTATTCTGCTATATATCAGTTCCCCTCAGTAGAGCAGAATAAACAAAAATGGTTGGAATGAGATCAATCTGGTTGTGGATGTTTTTGCTGTTGGATTGATTGATTGATTAATGTAGAGTTGGATGAGACTTTCCTTTTCCTGCCTAAAGACTATTTTCTTGTTTCCTCACTTTCTGAAGGCGTCTATGGTGATGTGCAAAGGGTGAAGATCTTATTTAATAAGAAGGAGAATGCCCTAGTTCAAATGGCAGATGGAAACCAGGCTCAGCTTGGTAAGCTTACCTGCAGAGGAAGCAGAATAGCAGTGCTAGAAAACACTGCTGCAGTAGCTGCAGTTGGGATTGTGCTGTTATGGCTGTCAGGTTATAACAGAATAGCTTAATAACGCCTCTGGTGGGGAAAGGAAATAGTCAATATTCTCATTGTCCACGAGGTACAAAATAAGCGTCCTTGCACTGAATTGCTTGTCTGTAGGCTGAGATTTGGGTCTTACATGGAAACAGATACTATATTGTCAGGTATCTTGCTAATGGCAAAGGGGTGGGCAATACTGAAAATGTTCAAAATAATGATATTGTTGGGAGTGTTGGTGCTGGGGGATTTTTTTTTTTTTGTGGGGTGGGGGGGAAAGGAGTTGTAATTTTGGGTGAAACGTCCAATGTGCTGTTTAACTGTTGCAGCCATGAGTCACTTAAATGGTCAGAAGCTTCACGGGAAGCCTATCCGTATCACACTGTCCAAGCATCAGACAGTACAGCTTCCCCGCGAGGGACAGGAAGATCAAGGGTTGACTAAGGACTATGGGAATTCTCCTCTACATCGTTTCAAGAAACCTGGCTCTAAAAACTTCCAAAATATCTTCCCACCTTCTGCTACTCTTCACCTCTCAAATATCCCGTAAGTAACCATGTGAGCATTCCCGATTGGCCAAGTGTGAATGCTGTGGGGAAGGACTAGCTTTGTAAACTGAATAAGGTGCTAGGTTCAGTGGTGCTTGATATTCAGATTCGCATTCTCTAGGACCTGGGGAGTTCTGGGCACTGCTCATTTTTAAAAGAAATGGGATATCAGCGGTCATCCACCGGTGCGCATTATAGCATGGTTTTAGGTTCTCTCTGCAGCAGGTTTGGTTGTACGATCCATTTCTCCCAGGAATGTCAAGGTGCCAGCTGTCCAAATGAATCCCCCCACTCATGGGGTCTAGACTATGTGTATCTTTTGTTGCTGGTACTTTAAAAAAAAAAAAAAAGTTACTTGCAGCTCAGTGCTTCTGTAAACTAGTTTGTGGAAGTATCAAGGCAAAAAAGAACTTGAGTGAAAATCTCTGCATGAGCAGGTAGGAGGGAATTCCACTGGCTGGCAATGCTTTGTGCGTTTGCCAGATTTCTTTCTGCTTTCATTTTGGGGCTGTTTTTTTTTCCCCAAGATCATTTTGTGGGTCTTCTGCAATTCAGGATATTGTAGCAGCTCATGTAAAACGTTTCCAGAGGGAAGAAATGCGTATGTTTTGCTGCAAGGCAGCAGTGTTTTATCTCTGGAAAAAACAGCGGTAGTTAAACACGAACATACTGCAAATCTATAAAGAAGACATCTCTAAAGTACAAAGCAATAACTTTGTCTAGTAGGAATATAGGATACTGTATTCTTCCATTACTGGCAGGAGAAAAGACTTGGCTATCGTTAAGGGATCTTAGAAAATGAAATGGCAAAAGATGATGTTTTTGAGAGTTAAACTTCTAATCCGTGCCAGCCTAAATCTGACTTCTTTTCTTTTTTTGTTTTAAATCAGACCTTCAATAACTGAAGAAGACCTCAAGATGCTGTTCTCAAGCAATGGTGGCATGGTCAAGGGATTCAAATTCTTCCAGTAAGTCTGAGGTTTTAAGCGTTCTGTTTTGATGAGGTTATTAAAAACCAGTGAGTTCTCCACCAGTTTGAAGCATTGGGTAATAACTGCCACAGAGCAAAAACCTGTATTAAAAGGTGTTTACACTGCTTGCCTTGTCTGGGTAAGGAAGTGGGGGCTACCCACTTGTAGTAAGTGCATAGAGAGCACAATGACCTGGTATTACAGTCGGACTTAGCAGGTCGATGGCTGAGAGGTATATTTTCATTCTGAAGACTAGCTCGGCCCAGTAAGAGGAACAAGATAAACTTCAATTATGTGAGCCATTCTTGCTGAGATATCTGGCTCCCTTGAGCTTTGGACGGTAAATTTGAACGGAGTCAGAGAGGTAATCTGAAATCAGGCAGAGTTGCACCTTTGAGACTTAATTGAGTGATGCATAAGCTTTCATAAGCAGCAGCACATCTCCAGTGAGCTGTTGCATGCACAAATTTAAGCACCACTACACCAGATAATCTGAAAGGTGCAGCTCTGCCCTGCTTTCTGCTTGAATGGCCTCAGAAAGAGCCTTTACAGACCGTGAGAGCAAACTCAGTATTTTGGACTTTTTTTTTTTTGTCTTGCCAGGAAGGACCGTAAGATGGCTCTGATCCAGATGGGCTCTGTGGAAGAAGCCATTCAGTCGCTCATTGACCTCCATAATCATGATCTTGGTGAGAATCACCACCTGCGTGTGTCCTTCTCAAAGTCCACCATTTAGAACTTTGGAAGGTGTGAGACCGAATGGACCTGACTTAAAACCTCATGGGTTCAGCCTTGACCTTAAATGGTTGAACGCTATGGGACAACTTCCATCATTCCAGAAAAAAAAGCCACTTTAAAAATGCAGCTGAAGTGACCTTAAAGACCAGAGATTTTATTTTTTTAAAGAGAAATCAGTTTACCGGTTTTTAAAAAAATTAAATCTAATTCCTATTGCTAACCTTGTGGTGATGGGATAACAATCTCGATGACTGTTCAAACAACAACAAATAAATCACAAGTTAAAGTTTACACTTTGGAAACTACTCTGGGAAATTTCCCTTTCCCCCCAAAAAACGATCCTAACAAGCTTATCAGGTTTCACATTGATGCCTTCTTTATTTTCTTTACCCATTCAAGCCTTGGAAGACCCAAAACCACTGTGCAAATTCACTTTAGCGCCTTTGAGTCAGGATCTTGCAACGTGCATGGTGTGTGGGAGTTCCCAACTCACCCAGCGCAAAGGGCCTAGGCCCTGAGCCGTGCATCTGCTATCCTGTGCCTTAAACTTTTTCTTCTTATTGGGAGGGGGAAAATATTACCTGAAATGTTGGGATTGGCTTGGGAATGTTGAGGGAAATGAGTTCTAGTTATTGGATCAGCTCATTGTAACGAAGGACAAGTGAAGCTGGCAAAGTGGATAAAGAAAATATTGGGCTTTGACTCCTTAGGCAGTTACTGAGTGTCCCACTGTCCATGAGATGTCTCAATCTGCATAGTATCATGTGTAATCTTGCCACTGCTCCAATCTGTGTGTGGTTTGATTTCCATCTGTGCATTCTTTCAGGTGGGCGTTAAGATGCTTTGTTTATAACATTCAAACTGAGCAGAAAGGTCTGGGTGAGGAAAACGCTCCCACGACCCATTTACATTCCAGCAACTATAGCAAGTTGACAGGCTCTCCTTTCATTAGAGCCTTGATCAAGCTATGAAAATTAACCACTGTTGGACACTTGTGAAGAAAACAAATCAGTATGAGCTTGTCTAAATTGTACATACATCTAAATACTTGGCTAGGATTTGAAGAATTATTGGATATCCCACATTAGAAAGGTGCTTATCTGTCACCTTCGTGCCCCTAATTTGAGAAATTAACAAGACCAGCGTAGCTCCGCCATCGTTCTTATAGCATGTCTTCAGCATTTGAGCTTTTGTTTTAATCCTTGTATTATACTTTTGATGCAGTTGCTGTCATCTGTGCCTAGCAATATTTCCAGTTGACCAAATATTCTAATCTCTTTATATGCAAAAGAAATAGTTTAAGTACCTTTTTATAGAATGATAAGATGGTATAAACGTAATCTAAATTTACTTCTTTTGTGGTATTACCCTTGTATACTGTACTTCTTATTTTATTTTATTTTTTTTGTTGTAATTAAAACTGTAGGGCAGGAATTTAGTTTCAGGCTGAGGTCATGACTGAGGATGAGTAATGTAATGAAACTGTTCAAACATGTTAAGCTAAGCAGGCCCTTTTTTTTTTTTCCCTCCTTTATTTTATTTTATTTTTTTTTTTAAAGCAAAAGGTGTTTGAACTAGCAGACACCCCGTGGCCTTTGAATTCAGTTAAGTGGACCCAGGCTCAAGTTTTTACATTTTTAATCTCTAAGCCCATATCTTTTAAGTTATAGGAAGGGAATATATTAAAAGAATTAGAAAGCAGCAGGTCATTTTTTCCCCCTCGGTAACACAAACCTAATTGAACTGAAATATCATTCCTCTGGCTTACAACTCTTTTCCATCTTTCCCATGCCGTTCTGCCTTCTCTCTTTTGTATAATCCATTGTTGCCTTACATTTCCCTGTAACCTGCAACCTGTTTTGGATGCAAAATAACAAGAATCTTACACTTTTTTTCAGGGTTTTTCTGCAAATTGTGGACCAAAGTTTGTTTTTTAATTGTCTGTCTCTTGGTGTTTGCAAGTCATGGGTTCCCTTGCCTAGCATGAGATCTCCTGACTTGCCTGACACTAAAGCAGTTGGAAAAGTCTTAACTTGTCTTAGTTCCTCCCTGAACTCTTGTGGGTGTGAACTATGCTGGAGAAATGTGTGAAGTCTGAGTGGAAGGTTCTGCTTGGGTTGCTGGCATGAGTGATGTGGTAGTACTGGCCTGTCTTATTGCCATCTTTTTTTTTTCCTTGCCTGTGGCTGAAAGGAGTTGGAAGTTACCGTGAATCAGCAGCATTGCCCACAGTTCAGAGTTGAAAAGCCTCATGTGACAAGTACGTGTCGGTTCCATTTACTGCACATCCAAATAAGCTGGTTCCTGAAAAGTCTCAATCTGTTTATCTGAAAGCTCCCGGTTTCCCTGGCTGGCATCTTACACTCAGTAGGGCAAATTCTGATCACCAGCGAGGATTCATTTGCTCTTCTCCCTCCCTTCCCAAATTAAAAACAGTAAATCAGTTCCCCTTACAGCCGGGGGACATTGGCTACTAAATGGGTACACTTGAATCTACTGCAGGCAGCACTCTACCTTGACTTAGAGATCTATGCGCAACCCAAGTGGAACAGCTGTTTAATTCTTAAATGCATTCAATCAACCTCACCCAAGAAAGTGGGAAGAGGCTTATTGGAATGAAACCTGTCTGCCGGCCTCCGTTGGTTTGGTCAGCAAACAGACTTATGTATTTTACAAGATGCAAGCAAATAAATTGAGGTGACCCCAGAACCCAGACAGTTATGGGTTTTCTCCTTTGGATCCCTGTGTTTGCATGTAAAGAATGTGAGTAACAAAAGGGTGTACATATTTATAATTTTTTTATACCTGTTGTAAAACATGAGGGGGCAGCAAAACCCAGTTTTTTTTATGGTGAACAGATGTATTGTATATTTTGATAACAGCTATTACAGGTTCAGTATTGTGGAAAGCGGGGTGGGAGGGTGACCATACACAACATCAGAATTCCATTGCCTCTTTCAAAGAATGTTTGTAATGCAAAAAAGAATTGAAATTAAAACTATTTTATAACAACCTTTGTACCTTTCTGTAGCTCTATTATTTACTGTTCCAATTGTAGAAAGCAGTTATTGGCCAGTCTGTACTTGTGCTTTCAATAAATTTCTTCTGTATTCTTTGCTTCTGATTTTCCTATCTTTTTATTGTGCCCTTTTTAAACACTTTTTTTTTTTTTTTTTGCTTCTGATTTTTTCCTTCTAATGTAATTTCAGCTGCCTCATTTTATATAACTGACTTTCACATACCTCTGGGCTGGTGGAGTGTTGTTCACATTAGCATCTTTGACTCCGCTGTGTAAAGGGTGGTAATGAGACAACCGGAAAGGACAAATATAGCCCTTTTTATCACTGATTTACTCCAAACTCTTCACACTCCAGCCCTTCCATGTTTGAGAGGTGAAGTTCAGAGGTATGAAGTTACAGGGTCCTTAACTGATCCTCTGCCTTTGTCACATTCCAGTATTTCTTACCTCACGTTCCTAAACTTTCCATATACTCTAGCTAATATTCATGGAATAACCTAACCTTCAAGTTAAATATAATACCCTCTGCAGTACTATGCTCTAGACGTGTGTGAAAAGCTTGTGACCAGCTGGATGTAGTGTCGAGTGATCCATAATCTGGGTTCCTGTCTAACCAGGTGAAGTTCAGAGGTGCTATATTGGAACAGCAGGCAAACCACAGGTAATTAGAGAGATGCCCCTAATCCTTTGCAGCTAACTACAACACGCGTCTACACAGTCAAGGTACTGAGCCTTTCATTCTTTCCATGCCGCTGCAAACATCTCTTAAGACGGACTGTTTTGAAGGGAAAACTAGATGTGTAAAACTAGACTCCGCTGAACAAAGCCAGTGTGGTCAGGATGATTTAAGGAATATACTCCCATCTCTGACGCATGCTGGTTGCACACTTGCGATTTAAGGAATGTAATCCCATCTCTGACACATCCTGGTTGCATACCTAACGTGCTGTGCCCACCTGTTCATTTTTTTGCAATATCCTTTCAAGTCCTACACTCCAAAGGAAAATAGCAGCTTAATGTGCGAGATGCAAGGATCTCTCAATGTCTAAGCAAGTGATAATTGAAATTGTTTTAAATAAATTTGCCCCGTGGACATTAAGGTTGAGAGAGGATAAATACGCTGAACTGCATTCAGATATGCTTTTTTCTAAGCATTGGCTGCATTTCCTTTTTGCCAAGACTAGTATTTCCCATGCCTGCCTGCCTGCCTCATAGTGAGGTGGACCGTGTACGACTTCATCTTCCAGCATTTACCAAGCTGGCATTTTCAGGCATTAACCTTTTAATACGATTTGTCTCAAAGGGGTGCTTGGATTTGTAGTGACTCTCTCTCTTCCCTCACCTGCGCTACTCTGAAAATGTCACGCATCCCATGAGCCTCATCACCCGCAAGGGGTGAAGCTAATTGCTATCCACCATGGGTGTGTGCAAGAGAGGTTCTTCTGCAGGAGAGGGTGGCAAGGCTGCAAAGCCCAATGCTGCATGTCAACGGTTTAGGGAGCGAAAGGAATAGTAGGGAAAATGGACCCTTTGCCCCTCTCCAGAAGAGCAAATCCTGTCTCTGCTGGCAGGAAGTCCGTTGCAACCTAATCTCTTCTGTCAAAGAGGAATGAACAAATACAGAACAACCAAGAGGTCCAGGGATGTCCTTATTTGAGATAAAATAATTCCTATCTTACAAACAGGTGAGTAGCCAGCGCCGCAGCAGGTGAGTGCACAGCACTGTAAAATCCTGCCTGGAAGCGGAAGCACTGAGCTGCCTAGGAGGCGCAAGGAATCCAGGCTTGCCACATACTGCTGTTCCTCTCCCCTCTGGCCAGTAATGAATTGCTAATTATCAGCTGTCTGGTGCAGTAATTATGCCCTCCCAGCTCTGCCCCTCCAGGCAAAGCAAATATCGATTGAGGGGATGGGCAGAAGCATGCACTTGGGGCCGGATCTCCATGGAAACGGTTGCGGCTGTCAGAAGATGTGAATTAAGTGGAGTGACTCCTGTTGGCAACCGCATCTTTTCCCCCTCCCTTCCCCCTAGCCCCACGCACTTGCTCTATTGCCACACATGCAGTTGAGCGGCCTGGCTCATTGCCATGGAAACTCCTCAATGGGTCCCTGCGCGCACGTGTGCGTGCGAACGCATGCGTGCGCATTCGAGGGCTGCAATTTCACAATGCAGAGACCAGAGGGAGGACATTCTCCCTCTGCAAACTGAAAGGGCTATTTTTCTGGCATTCATCCCACTCAGCGCTGCCAGTTGGCAATGGCTCCGGCTTTGTTCTCTAAACTGGCTCCTTCCCACATACTGATCTAGTGGGCCGGGATGAGCAAACGGGGAGAAAACAACACGCAAACGCATGTGCAGTCTGACCTGTCGGCAGATTCCAAGTGTGTGTTAGATGAAAGCGCAGGGGAGGGGGAGAGAAGGGGGTCAGAGCATATGCCGGGCTTAGTCTGCATCTTCGGATACCAGAGCTAGCTATTCTTCCCTTCTCCGTGCTCTTACACGTACCGCCTGTATTAGCCATGTGCTGTGGGTTTTGGAGATGGTTTTGTTTCAACCCAACGGTTGTTGAAAAATGTCAGTTTAAAGCAGACCTGCACTTTCCATATGGTCTTAAGCTTCGGGAAAGCGTGCAAACGCCAGCAGACACTCCCTGTGCCTGAAGAAAGGTGTTTGTGCCCCGAGAGCTTGCAAAGAACCATTTTTCCAACTTGATCTAATAAAAGAGATCGTGTTTATCCAACAAACCTTGTCAGCTTCAAACTGAAACACTTCTGCAGGACTGCATGCCTCTCAACTAGACCTGTTAGGTAAAAAGCTTTGTGACTCCTTTCTGCCAAAACGGAAAAAAAAGGGGCATGTCTCATCATAACTAACTCCTTGAAGGTGTGTGCCCTACCTGCAAGGGGCGAAAGGCATATTCCAGTCCCTGCTCTGGCTTGACTCAGGGTGAGGTACTATCTAGGTCTTCCATGAAAAAATCTGTAAGCTGTTTCATTCCCTTACAGAGCGTGAAAGTTGGGGGGGGGGGATTGTTTAAGTCCTAGATCACTGCAAGACGGGGGCGGAAATGGGCAGGGATGGGGACTTTCCTGTGCTGCCTAACAAGTTTCACTCCCCTTTTATTACTCCTACTTCCCTTTTTTTTTTTTAAACTTCTTGGTAACTGTAAGCTGCTAGAAGGGACTTGGAGAACAAATTTGCTGCCCAGGTAAAGTATAAGCTGTCCAACTGCTCTTACTGTCTGCTGGAGTTTTCACCTTGTCTTTTGGTTTGCTAGCCTCCTGATCCTGACCGGCTGTTGAGCATCCTGACCAGCTTCATACCCTGGCTATGGAAACTGGCATCTCTTCGCCATGCTGCCCCGATGAACTGCTAGGTTCAGGTAATCCTTTGACCTGCACTACTCAAAACTGACTCTTTTCCTCTCGTACAATTTCTCCTGTAGCCTTGAGTCAAGTTTCCCGGTTTATTTGAGCACTGATGTGAAAGCCTGCCTCATGCATTTGTTACCTCCAATAAGAAAACTTTGCCCACTTAAACCAGGTGTGTTCCTCAAAGCAGAACTAAGGGGGACAGTCTTTTGAAATGCTGCTGCCTGCTCTATAACTAGCATTTCCCCGTTGTAAGCAGCAGGGAAAGGGAGCAGCATTTGCCGTTGCCTTGTAGAGTAGGAACAGGGGAAGTCCCCCAAGAGAGGCGGGTCTCTGCCTCTGCTCAGTGATTTGTCTGTGCAGCTGGAAGGTTTCTGGCTGAATCAGGTGCAGGGTTTAGCAAGTCACTCCTGGGGGAAGATGTATTAGCTTGTGCCACTTTGACAACTTAATGGATGCTTGCATTTTCCCTTGCACCTGGGAGCCTGGGGTCTATCAGTATTTCCTGCTCTATCACAACTGTTGTGCTCGCCAAAACCTTCCCAGCCATTTTCACTTTGAGTTAGGCTCAAAGCTTTCCTTTAATTAGCCTCTCCTGCCCACTGCTGCTCCTGCCTTATTAGGCTCAGGGCTGCAGTTCTGCTCTAGAAATCCAACCTTTTCTGTTATTAATCTTCCCTCCCTTTGAAGTCTTACCGCTTCCCATGTGCTCCTCATCCCACTTAGCTGCTGTCCATGCACAAGATGGCTGGGCAGCCTCCAGGACAGCCTTTTCTCAGCCTTCCAGGGTCTGCTGAAGAGGCTGAACTTTGTGTCCAAGATTACAGCAGCTAGATCCCTTGCTCTTGATCTGCTGCTTTGGGGAAGTTTTTGCTATTTTCCCGAATCTCTAATATATCTCCCTTTCACTGCTGCCTCTGGAAGCCTATAGTAAATTTGAGATTGTCCCTTTCATCTATCAATGATCATTTTTGCCCAGTCAGCCATTCTGGCAGTACACACGCACGGGGTTTCCAGGAATTCAACTTCAGGGACCCAAGCCAGGCTCCGAACACCACGATGTCCTGTTACCTACCACCAAAATACATGCAACTTCACCTTTTTAGACCCTGATTCAGCATCCTTCTCTGTAAAGACGCAAGCCACCAGGTCAGAGCACCAGCGACTCGGTTCTTCCCCTCACTGCCCTTCCATTGTGCAGTTCAGAGGGACCTTAACCCTGCTCCCAAAGCAACCCCCCCAGCTTGGGGTAGGGACCTCGCCAGATGCAACTGCTTCAAACAATCAGTCTATTCACAGAGCCTGTCTGTCTAGGTCAACCATTTTGCAACTTGCTTAATCTAGCATGCAGAATCTATATGCTGATTAGTAAGACGGGCATCCAGGTTGTGGCCATATTGGTCTAGAGGAAAAGGCAATCGAGGCTCATGGGAGAGGTGATATTTTTTTATTAGACCAACTACATTTTTGCAACAAAAAAAAAAAATTCTTTAATTGCAAGCTTTCAGGCACGTGCACCCTTCGTCAGGCATTGGAGAAAAGATTGTAAAAGTTCTCCTGTGGAGAAATGAAAGTGCATTTTTCATAGGATTTCACTTAGGAGTCAATAGATGGAAAACTCCTCCGGGCAGGCCGTTCTTAGCTAATAGTCTCTTGTGAGGCTCTGTGATGAAGCAAATTAGCTGGAACAAAAGCAGGAGCATTATCTCAGGTGTCAGGTGGTCAAAGTTGCTTCCTCCTTGGGGAAAAATAGGAAGATTTCATTTTAAGAATCAGCTAAAACTTGATATCTTTTATGCGTCGGGTATCCAGGACGTAGCTGTATTGGTCTAGAGGAAAAAGCAGTCGGGACATGCACCTGGACTTCCTCCCTTCCCAGGCTGACACGCGAAGGACGCACAAAAACATCAAGAAAAATCAAAGAGCTTAATAAAAGATAACCTTTTCTGCCCCTGTCCTTAGACCAACACGGCTACAAGCTACACCCCTGTAAAGAAAATCAAATACTCCTTCAATGTGTTGACAGAAGACTAGGAGCTCTGGTTGCTGCAAAAGACCTTGCCCTGGGATTCGTGGTATGAATGTGCCGCAATCACTGCCCCGAGTCTCCTCCAAACAGCACTATTCAGGGTCCAACCAGCTGTTGCCAATGGCATTAGTTTTTTCTGTTACTTTAACACTGCCGGGCTCCGAAGAAACATCGTCTTGGGACCATTAAAAGCAGCAATGCTGTGACCGAGGGGACTCTCAGAAAAGCTCCCCCTTTTTAGTGGCAAGTGAGAGCTCCTGTAGCCTTTATGGTAAAACCAAAGGATAAGGCAGCATAAAAAGCAAGGTGCCGCTGAGCTCAAGACAGTGCACCTTACCTGGCACCTCAAGCCATGATAAAACTGGAATCTGTTCTGTAAGCAATAATTTTTTTTTCTTAAAACCTTTTTGGCAGATGTAGCAACAGTGGGGGCTATTCTCTTTGCTAAGTTTCCCTATAGTAGCCAGGACTTTGCTTGTAGGAAACTCCAAAGGAGCAAAACTCCTCTGTGGTGTTGCCTTCATCTAACTGCACGGAGCACAAAGGTGCAGAGGCTCTAGGTGTGTTACTACAGCCCCCACCGAGACCAGATCTTTCCACCCCCCACTAACATCTATTGCACAAAAATAAGCCTGTCTGCATCTGAGTAGCTGAGCCATGGCTTCAGAGGTGGTTAAATGCAGATGTGCCTGAATTGCATAGCTTGGTGTGTAGATTGTACAGATCACAATCCCCTGAGCCAGATGCACATTCGTGTCTTGTTGGGCTCTGCTACGCAAGCAAAAATCCTTGGCACAGCACCGGTGAGAAGAAACCTCAGTCCTTGCTAGGAAGCTTAACCTTTCCTTCCTGTCCTAGCGCCCCTAAGGGCTTCGGCAAGGCTTGCTCAGCATGCTCTGATGAAGCTTTCCACATTTTTGTCCTTTGGAGACTGAAGCGCAAGGTGACTTCCACACTTTAAACCCCCTCCCTCCTCTTGTTTCTACATGTATTGGAGTGGTGCTGGATGGCACAGGTTACCTCCTACAATCGTCCTCCTCTATCTTTCAGTGCTGTCCCCCTGCAAGCTCCCTCCTTAATAGCTCTGCTCTACTATTTGCTTGTCATCTTTGGTCTTTAGTTACTCCCTTACTGCCGCTTTAAAGAAGGCTGATAATTGAGAGAAGAGGGTAAATTTCCAGTAATCGCTTCCCACTAGCGAGTCGTTACTATACAGGTTGCAAAGCTCTGTAGATGGGCAAGTCAGAAAACTGACCCCCCTCTATTAAAGAAAAAATGACGGTGGTGCAGTGCATTTGTCAGCATGGGATTAAAACAACGCTAGATAAAAGCCTAGGAAATGTAGTGTAGCAAACCATTGTGCCTTAACAGGGACCTGAGCTGAATCAATAAGGGCTTTCCATCTCGAGCTGACTTTGCGAGGTGGGATTCGAGAGAGCTGCAGCCATTTGTCTGAGCCATTAAAGAGAGCTATCCTGGCAAAGAGAGAGCATGCTTTTCTTGCTAAAGCCTCTTGTACGCGGTTCTGCAGCAGGAAGGGGAGGTTTCGGGGTTGACATCAAGGCCCCCAGGAAGGGAAGTTATCAAAAGCGTATGTCTTGGAAATAGAAGGGAAAGATAGGGGTGTCAAAAGAGGAAGCTAAAAGCATCCAGACATTAGAGGGCAGCTAATTCTCCGGCTGTTAGATGATAGGATCAGTTGTTCTTTCTAGACTTGGCTGCATGAGAGACCAGCTCCCTTTGAAAAGCACTCGGCAGAAGGACTCGTTGAACAGGTAGGAGTGCCCTGTGCCTTCAGCTCCCGAAGTGGGACGCCAGGTCTTATGGCTCTTTCTCTCACTCTGAAGGTGGAGTTGAAACCCTAGAGAGAGGGACGGGCATGGACATCCTGCTGTGGGCAGGGGTTTTCACACCCCAAGGGAATTAGGCGCTCTGCTCTCCTGGAATTTCAGTAGGAGCGACGGGCTCCCATTGCCCAGAGACCCTAGGCCTGTGTTATCCCTGTTGAGACTCGCGTGGGAAGTCGTGTACACACCTTTGCCCCGAGTCCTGCACCTGTTCCCGGGGTCGGGCCAGGTGAGCTGGAATAGCAAGGTGGTTTCTGCCTGCTGTTTTGTAGTGCTAGTGGAAAGCGTGCAGGAGGACATGGCAGCTCTGACAGCTCGTGGCTGCCAGCTCAGGCGGCAGAGGCGGTGACGCTGCATAGGATCGTGCTGGCAGGAGTCACACCTGCGACCAGGAGTCCCTGAGCAGAGTCTGACAGCAGAGAGCACAGACACGAGATGGGCCTCCATGCCGCTTTGCTTCTACTCCCAACTATGTGACTTGGGGCAAGTCACTTCCGTGCCTGCCTTCTATCCGTGCTGTCCAACGAGGCCCTGACATCCTCAGCAGGAGCTGTCTTGCAGTGAGAACGCGCAGCTCCTAACACACAGGGACTTGACCTTCGCCGATGACCTCTGGGTACTACCATCATATTGATAAACACCCACACATGCTGCACCTTTCTGTCCCCTTTAATGCTGCCCGCTAGCAAACTAGCTGAGCCCTTCCTGTTGAGCTTATCTGCAGGGTTAAGCCAGCGGAGGTTTTTAACCTCAGGATGCCGTGTACCGATGAGCTACACCCCAAATCCAAACAGGCCTGAAGTCAAAGCCAGGTGATCTTCCTTGAGGTTTTGCGGCCTCTTAGCTGGTTTCATTTTCAAGTAGCAAAGGCTGGTCCCACGCATGGGAATCGGCATCGCTGCACCCAAGTCCTTCAGGGTTTGTCCAAAAGTAGGCAGCACAGATGGGACATTAGGAATTACCTGCAGGTGGGAAGGTAAAGTGGGCTCCTTGGTCTGCTGTGCATGGACACTTCTGTTTCCAATGCCAGGTGTCTCCATTTGATTTGGCTGAAGACGCTTTCCAAGGCTGGGACCAGCGCCTCTCCATCGCTCTCAAGGCCCCACACGAAGGAGGTCAGTGTCATTGCTCACCTATGGGCAAACTGAGGCACAAGAGGGTTGCCCATGTCACCCAGCAGGCCAGAGCTGAGCTTGGACCTAACCCAACTCCAGCTAAGTCCCAGTCAAGACAGCGGCAAGTGTCGGGGAACTCGTAGCCCTGTCCAGCCCACGGGATCAAAGCTTCTAGCATGACAACGTGCTCCCCAGATCTAAGATGCCCACTGGAGGGGTTTGGGCATTGCCGGAGAAAGGAAGTCTGCTTGGCTCCCAGCACTTCCAGCCCCGCCAGCTTCTCCCAGAGCAGCCTTCTCCCCTGCACAGGGTGGGATCAGTGATGCTCCACGATGGCGCAGGACGGGATCAGACGGTGCGTCCTCCTGCTGCCAACGCAGGTGCTTTGAAAACCCCTCCGGGCCCTTGGCATCTCAATCAGAGCTCTATTTACAAAGCGCAGGCGAGGCCGCAGTGCCATCTTCCCGTGACAGCCCGGCTGAGTCCTGTCTCCCAGCATGGAGCCCTGTCGGCTCCCATCAGGCTGGCGGCAGGAGCAGGTTCCTGGGGTTAAGAAGCGTGTCAGGTTTGATCAGTGCCCCCCAGGAGGCCGTCTTCATTGGCTCCCCGCCAGGGCCGAGTTGTGGGGGGCTGCTGTTCCCTGACTGATGCAGCCAACATGTGTCCCCAGACGGCCGAGCGACGCGGAGCTCCTCGGAGGGACACCTCGCCTGCACGGCAGAGGTGAAACGGGACCGCGGCTGGGGGATCAGGCCGCGGGATTCGGGCTGGAAGCAACAAAGAAGAGGCAAGTGGGGGGATCCTTGTCTCTGTGGTGTGTAGGCTACCCCATGGCCCACCTGTAGCCTTCCTTGGACATAAAGGAAGGCTGTGCCCCTCTGTGTGCGTGCAGATCAGCAGCCTAAGTCGGGGGACGTCTTGCCCAGCTCCAGGGGAGCCGTGTGCCCGTGCTGGGACGCCCGGGTTCTTTGCCCAGCTCGGCGTGGCAGCATAGTCGAGGGTCTTGGTGGTCAGGGCACCCCTGCTAGGCAGGTCGCTCCCCTCCGGCCCCTCCTTTTCCTTCTCCTAGACGGTAGCAGAAGCTACCCCAGGGCAGGGGGGTTCCGCAGCACTCCGGGGGGTCAGAGCCAGCACCCTGGGGACAGCAGGATGGGGCTCTGCAGCCCTCGCCCCCCTCCCCGGCCGCGTAGAGGGGACCGGGATGCCGGTGGTAGGGGGAGATGGAGAACGATAGCAGGGGATGGCCGTTGCTATGGAAACTGCTGGGTCAGAGAAAGCGTGAAGCAGAGTGTGAAGCCATTAATCATTTTAATGAGCTGTGAGAACTGTGTTATGTGGAGGGGGCGGGAAGGCAGGCAGCTTCCCCTCCCCCCAGCACGCCAGCGCCTCGTACAACCCAATTGCCCCCCTGTCACTCCCCCGCCGCCCCCATGCAGAAGGGCAGGGGGTGGATATTGCATCTTCCTCCATCACCAACCTGTAGCCCCGGGAGCGCTCAGCCCGGAGCCGCCCCGGTCCTGGCCTCCCTTTGTTCCACTCCTGGACCCTGGCGGCGCGGCTGTAAAGCAATTTCCAGCTGCCAAGCAGGGTGGAGAGCCTCCGAGAGCATCGCTCTGCTCCTCCAGACGGTTGCACGTGGACAGTGCCCGGGTCCTGGCCCTGTGGGCTGGACAGCGGGAGGCAAAAGGAGATGCTGTGGGGGGAGCGGAGGGATAAGGTGCCTTGCTAGGGATCCAGAAGCTTGGGTTTGTGCCTCCTTCCAGGCCCAAGCTAAAGGCTGCCCCCAGCCCACCCAGTGGGGCGTGGGTTGCTGTAGCTCAAGGCGATGCTTCCCACGTGGGTTGCTCGTCTAGCCCCCCAGCTAACTACGCTTTATTGCAGTTGCATCTCAGGCCCTTGGTCCCAGAGCGCAGCCATCCAGCCGGTGAGCACCCACCTGCCAAGACCCCCAGGCCACAAATGCTGCCCACCAAGCAAGAATAAATCAACACCTCCCTGCCCAACTTGGTCACAGCCCCCCACACCCTTCGCCAGCGGCTGTACTCAATCCTGGCCCTAATCCCCAGATGGCTTTTCCATTGCAAAGGGTCGGGATAATCCATATGTTTGCAAGCCCCAGGCTTTCGGAGAGTCACTGCTAATCCAATGGGCGAGAGCAGTTTAGCACGATCTTTGGTGGGTCCCTAGCGGGCTGTGGGCCCGGCACAGGTGTGGGGACAGTGGGACGCCGTCCGTCTTGGCGCATGGCCTGTGGGAATCGTGGCTTTGATTTACTGCTACCTGGAAATCGCCTTCCCCCTCCCTGCACTCTGCGGCCACGTCTAGGGATCTGCTGCATCTCTGGTGTCATCCACAGCAGCCACGAGGCTGCTCCAACTTATGCTCTGCAAAAAATAGGACCAGCCACAGTGCAAGGCGCTCGGTGCAGACTGCTGATCTCTCCCCCGCTCCTCTCCTGGATGTCCCAGGGGTTGCATTTCTGCATCCCAGCATGCTCCCGCCACAACACAAAGGTGCCTTGGCTCCAGCATCACGCTGCAGGGCTGGGTATGTGCTGAGTGCATGGGTGAGACTGGGCAAGCAGTTTGCTCCTGGGCTTATCCCACATAAGGCACGGATCAGGCGCTGGTCCGGGATCTGCTCCCAGCGAGACTGGGCTGGATGAAGAGGAGCAGGCTGCTGCCACCAAGTCCAGGGCAGTGACTGGGCCGTGAGCGGCTGGTGCTGGGGACCCACAGGTGTGGTTTTTAAGTGAGATGTGGCTCAGGCCAGCTCACCAGAGGCAACGACTGGGGTGGAGACGAGGCAACAGGGGGTTTTAAATTCAAGTTGGCAACATCAGTGGAAACCAGAAGGGGAAGTCTAGGGCTGGACCTAAAATCCAGGCCTGGATCTGCTGGTCTTCGGTGTGGCTTTAACCCGGGTTAGCCGAGCCGAGCTCGGCAGGCACGTTCTTTGCCATCTCTCTCTCGCACGTTGCTCCCACCCCCTGCTATTTTTAAGCACGGGGCTGCTTTGCAAGACCCCCGCTTGGACCCTGCCCTTGTGATCTGATCCGACACGAATTTGCACCCGGAGCAAACCCCACCCCAGCTCCTCCGGCTTCTCGCTGCCCCTGCGCGCTGTTGAGGCCCCCCGGGGCCCATTGGATACGGAGCCTGCCCGCCTGTTCCCTCCAGCCTGATTTACAAGCCGTGACAAATGACAGCAGATGCTTTGCTGCACTGGGGCTGGGGTCTCGCTTGTCTGGAGAAGGGGTGAAGCAGGAATCAAACCGGCCCCCGGCGCATTCCTCCACTGGGCCCAGCTACCGGGCAGCTGACAGGAATGGCAGAGCCGGTGCCTAAGGAGAGGGGCAGGGGGCTCGCGGCAGAGATGGGGATGCTGCTAATGGGGACATCGCGGGTGCGACATTACGCTGCCAGCGCGGAGAGCTGAGGGCTCGTGCCAGGGACCCCAGTTGCAAGGCAGCCCCAGGATCAGGGGATCAGGACAGCGTCCGAGGGCAAAGCAAACCCCTGCCGCGGGCCCCAGGTCAGAGCAGAGGATCGGCATCCTCTGAGCACCTGAAAGCAATTGTGGGGAGAAGGGGAGATGGATAGGAGGGATGAGGGGCATCACCTGCCGGGCACGCAGGGGGGGTTGGCACTCATGGCTGTCCCACGGGGGCTCTGGGCAGCCGCTCCC